TCTGGCCCTTTATAGAAAATGTTTGCTGACGCCAGTCTAGTGGTAATTTGCCCCACTACTGAGCCAAAACCATTCTGAGCACAGGCATACCTCTGGGACATTGTGGGTTGGGTTCCAGACCACTGTAACAAAGTGACTTTCACAATAAAGTGAGTTGTAATCTTTTTGCTGTGGAGGGTCTTGCCTTCAGTTTGTAAAAACACAACATCTGTGAAGTGCAGTGAAGCGAAGTACAGTAAAATGAGGTGCTTGTGAACTACGAGGTGACCTGGTCAGTGGGAAGAAGTACTGTGTCCAACCCTGTCTGAGTCCAGAGGTCCCTTTCATGTGGTTCTTTCCCCAACCTTGGGTAGTTTCCTCAGATAAATGCCCTGATGGACATTCAGCTGAGGCCTCAGGGTGGACCCTGTGCACACCTCCAGAGTTCTCTCTGCAGCTCTCTTCTCCCTGGTCCTGTGCCCTGTGTGCTCCTGCCACCTGCACCTATTTGGATTCTTTTCAACTCGGGAGCTGGCCAGGCTGCACCTAGGTCCCCCTGTCTCACCACCCCTGGCGGCTCTCTCGAGGCAGTAGTCCGGGGCAGGCATAGAGCTCATCTCGTCTGTTTCGCATCTCTCAGGGTCCCTTTTCTTCAGTTCCTGAGGTCTGTGTCTGGAAACTATTGTTTTATATACTTGCCTCTGTGTGTGTGTGTGTTTTCAAGTTTCAGGCCAGAAGTAAATCTGGTCCCTGTCCATTCATCTTGGCCAGAAGCAGAAGTCTAATTCTACTGTGAAAATATCCAGTGAATGAGACACTGTGGCTACCTCATCCCTGCAATTCTCCATGCCTGCCTCACCCATTGTCACGTTTGAAGCTAAGTGAAGACATTAAGAGCAATGCAGCTTTACACATAGCACAGCCATTCGTTTGCCGTGGTTTATTCCTTAGGATCCATGCTTCCTAAAAAGCGTGTCTTGCTAGATCCTACTAAGGGATGTCCTGGCATTGTTGCTTTTTACCAGGAAAAGCTGTTTTCAGGTAGGAAAAGTATCCCTGTCATGCAGAAGGTGCTACATTCAGAGATTGTTCTAGGTGGGGAGTGAGAGGGTGTCACCCGCAAGTTTTTGGCAGAGAGTCTCCAAGACAGAGAGCATCCTTATCGAGACGCCCACCCTTGGAGAGCCTTTGGGGATTGTTGGAGGGTGGGGAGACGAGGGACTGGAGGAGAGTAGCAGCACATACCGCAGGTCCATTTGTTTTCTACTTTTACCTTTTTGTTTTGAAATACTGTATCCCTGTTTGCTTTCCTAGCAAGTTAATTCTCAAGGGTAAACACAAAAATGGAAGTATATCGCCTGGCTGGCTCAGTGCTTGAGTGTCGACCCATGCACCAAGAGGTCGCCTGTTCGATTCCTAGTCCGAGCATACCCAGGTTGTGGGCCCGATCCCCAGTGCAGGGCATGCAGGAGGCAACCAGTCGATGTTCTCTCTCATTGATGTTTCCATCTCTCTCTCCCTCTCCCTTCCTCTCTCCCTCAAATCAATAAAGGAAAAAAAAAAATGGAAGTAAATCTTTCCTAAAAACCCTAATTAGCCTTTTCTCTGTCTCAAGTACCTTGGTGGTATGCTGAGGTTGCTATGGCTTTGCTTCATTGCCAGGTCCTGCACTAGATAAAAATAAAGAACCATGCCCTGGCCAGTGTGGCTCAGTGTCTGGAGGGTCAGCCCATAGACCAGAGGGTCGTGGGTTCGCTTCCCAGTCAAGGGCATGTGTCTGGGTTGCAGGTTTGATCCCTAATCTGGTCATGGTTATGCAGGAGGCAACCAATTGATGTGTCTCTCTCACACTCATGTTCCCCCCCACCCCCCTTCACTGTATCTAAAAACCAGTGGAAAAATATCTTTGGGTGAGGATTAACAATAGAATAGAATAGAATAGAATAGAGAATAAAAAGTAGAATAAAACAAAAAATAGAATAAAATAAAATACCATGAAGCGTCATTATTTAACTCCCCTTTGCCCATAGACTCTGTTAGCCTTTCTGTACTTTAGTTGACCCTCAGAGACACTTTGAAAACCATCCTAAAATAACAGTGTATTGGCAGAACCTGGACTCGAGGCAATGAATGCCTTCCTTTTCTAAACTAGAAGCTAGATCTCGTTACAACCTGTGAGCCAGTCTTGGCTTCTGTGTTACTTATGCTGTAATTTGAGGCACAAGTGGACATTGGGCATAAGAAGGGTGAGGTGATGACAATGACTGGATCACCTCAGACATTCCTGAGATAGAACAAAGGAAGGTAACTTTTGATTAGTACAAACCCCTGTCTCTGAGTTGATAGCAGACCTTGGAGAGAAGGTATGAAGTATGGTTCTGCCTTCTCAGGAGGTCTTTGTTGATGGGTTTCTAAATTAGCCCCATCTGTTCCTAACTGTTATTTTATAGGTGTTCTTTCTAGATTCTAGCAGAAAGTTGCACGTTAGTTCTAGATTTCTGTGTTCTTAGGTCTCTAAGTCAATCTTTTCATGTGGAATAGTGGTGGGAAGGGGGCGAGCCAGACTCCAGTTTACACTGGCAAGTCTTAGTAGCTGATCTTGAACACTTGCAATTCTTACTTCAGAGACAACTTTCTTTGAAGATATCCTGTCTTGTAACTGTCACCTTGACCAGGAATCCTTCACTAAAATCTCAAAATGAAAACATCTATTCTTAGATCTTGCTCTAAGAGTCTTTCCAATGTGGATAAAGCAATTAGCTTCATCCAGCTTGACCTAATCTTTTCCTCATTTGTTCCTCACTTCTCCCTGCCCAGGAAAAGCTCCTTCTCTATGTTACATGTGAGAATTTCCATTTAGAACCTCAGCTACTTGTCTACTGCCTGAATTCAGAAGGCACTTTTATATTGATCAGAAGCCATTTCCTGTGTCTAATAGAGACTCTGTTTCTTTCTTCTACGGGCCTGGAAGTCCCTTCAGTTATTCCTTGATTTAAACATCATTCATTAAGTACTTGCTCTGTGCCACCAATTGGGCTCTGTGCTGGGGCAAAGACACTGGAATAGAAGACCCAGCTCGGCCTCTGAGGCCTTGTCATGTGCTTAGTCAGGGGCCTGAGGTTGCAGCTCTTAGAACTATCCCTCTGTGTTATTTACTTGTTAAAATGGTGATAATTTTTTGCTGTATAAATTTCAAACATGTAAAAGTAGAGAGAGTAAGATAATGATTCCACTTTACCCATCAACTGTTTCAGCAATTAACAACTCATAGTCTATCATGTTTCATCATATGTCTACCCAACTACCTATTCCATGGGTTATATATTTTTTTTCTTTATTGATTTTTTTAGAGAGAGAGGAAGGGAAAGAGAGAGAGAGAAACATCGATGAGAGAGAACATAGATTGGCTGCCTCTTGCATGCTAACCACTAGGGATTTGGCCCACAACTTGGACATGTGTCCTGACCGGGAATCGAACTGGTGACCTCTTGATGCATGAGTCGACGCTCAGCCACTAAGCCACACCAGCCTGGCTCCCATGGATTATTTTTGAGGCAAATCTCAGAAATTATATAATTTTATTGGTGAATATTTTAGAATATATCTCCAAAGTGTGTTTTTAACAGATAAAGGACTGTTCAAAAAATATATATACTCACAATGCCATTATCACCCTTAACAAGTTAACAATAATGCCATAATATAATCAAACATCCAGTGTTCAGATTTCCCTGATTGTCCCATGATGTTTGGTTTTGTTATTTTTAGGCTATTCATTTCAGGATCTGAATATAGTCTGTACATTGCAACTAATTGATGTCCCTTCAGTTTCTTTAATAGATAGGTTCCTTTGCCAACTCTCTCTCTCTTTTTCTTTGCAGTTTCTTGGTTGGAGAAGCAGGGTCATTTGCTGTATAGTTTCCCATCATCTAGATCTTGCTGGTTGTGCGCCCATATATTAAACTATTCCTCTGCCCCACGTATTTTCTGTAAATTGGTAGTTAGATTTAGTGGCTTGATCAGAATCAAGTTTGTTATTTTTGGTAAGAATACAGTATGATGACTGTGTCTTTATTTTCATCTACAGCCGCCAGATAGTCCTCCCACAATTATATGATATTTAGTTAGAAGATAGTTTTTCTGAATATCTAAAGATAGAAAATCTCCAAACACCTAGTTATTCCAAAGGGATTTTTAAAAAAATATGATTGTATTAGTTTTCTAGTCTGTCATCTTAAATTAGTACAAATTTAGTGACTGAAAATACAAATTCATCATTTTACAGTTCTCTGGGTCAGAAGTTCAAGGTGGGTCTCACTGGGCTGGGATCAGGGTGTTGGCGGGGCTGGGTTCCTTGATGGAGGCTGCAGAGGAGAATTCATCTCCTTGCCTTTTCCAGCTTCTAGAGGCCGTCAGCATCCCTGGGCTCATCATTCCTTCTTCAGTCTTCCAAGCCAGCAAGTTGCACCTCTCAGATCCTTCTTCACGTCTCCCTGTGTCTGCAGCTAGAAAAGGTTCTCTGTTTTACGGGGACTCATAATTACACTGGGTCCACCTGGATAATCCAGAATAATCTCCCATTTCAAATCTTAATCACAACTGCGAAGTTCTTTTTGCTGAGTAAGGTCATATATTCCCAGGTTCCAGGAATTAGTAAGTAGCCATCTTTAGGGGGGCATTATTCTATGTATCACAATGGCCATCCATTAAAAAAAAAATTAACATCATTATAAAATTGAAGAATGACTAATAGAATGTGGTGTGTTGCAAATGATCTAATGTGATATAATGACTTAGGATATGTGATAGGGTAGGGCAGATGACAGTAATGAGCTATTCACTATGGCATCATAGTTTTGCATGGTTCTGCATCGTTTATATTTTTGCTCATGGTTTATTTTGCTCGTTGTCTCAAAGATGACCATACTACCTCTCCTTAGACTTTCTCTCTCTCTTTTTTTTTTTTTTTGATGTGAACATATCCTCCAGATTTTATTGTCACATAAAACAAAATATGAAGCTTAGAACTGGATCACTTGGCCCTTTCTCTTCTTATCTCCTCCCAGTTCAAAATGCTTGCGTCTCTTAATAGCCAGCATTCTCTTAGGTCTGCAGTTGGGCTCAACGCATTCAAGCCTCAGCACGATCCTCTTTGTAGTTTTAGCCTTTTTGCGGAAAATCGGCTCAGTCTGCCCACCATAGCCACTCTGCTTCCTGTTGTGATGCCACTTTCCCTGCGCGTACAGAGAATTCTTGCCCTTTCTGTACTGTGTTACTTTGTGGGGTTGATGCTCTCCACACTTCTTACAGCAAGTCCGGCGGGTTTTAGGACCGGTCACCATTTTCGGCATGCAAAGGAAGGTGCTGGGCTGGAAACGGGAGTATATCTAGACTTTTTGCTTTAGGACTTGGAGAAGCTCAGGTCATCGTTGTTACATAGTCAGTGTCTCAGTTCTCTGGACTGTCTGTGTCTTTGGATTGTGGAATACAGACTTGTTGTAGCACCTAATCATAGTGAGGAGGTGCTAAGTTCATATAGAAATGATTTGAATGGAGCAGAATTTTTAGGCTTCTTTCTGTTTTGCATTAGAGAAAGAGCCTTTAAGCAGTGAAGCCATACAGTGAGTCAAGGTTGAGAGAAAAGAGTGCAGAGTAGCTATTTTTCATTCATAATCTATGTCTCTACTAGATAAAGCAGCTTTATAACTTTAATGTTTCTTTCTCTAATTGAAAACTGTAGAGGAATCTTCTGTCTTCTTTTTAAATTGTTTTACCTTTTAATTCCTGTTGACACTTGACCCTCAGTCCGATATATAGATTATTTTGGGGATGCATTTGGAACTTTACTATAATATTGGTCATCCTATAGCAGCACTAGGTTGATGATAGATTTATCTTGGAGGCCATCCAAGAGGTTGTTACTAAAGACCAAAAGGACCTCATTATAAAGAGATTTTGCTATAAAACGGTCCCTTAGAATGATCCCTGGAGAAAGCAGGTCATTTGTATAGTTTAAAAAATACGCGGTGTCAAAAAATGTCACTAAGGGGTCCTTACCTCACACCATTAGTTTAAATAAATTCCAGATGAATTAACGAGTTAAATGTAATGGCTTACTTCCATAGAAAGACTAGGAAAAATCATAAGTAAATGTGAACATGATCTTGGATAAGAAGACCTTTGTGATTTCTGCTTTTGTAGATGTGCCTTTATGTGAACTAGTCATTAAAAAACCCCATCGACAAGCGAAGCCACAAATGGCATGTTACCCTCTTCGGGTATGTTGCCTGGGTAGAAAGAGGCCTTAGATTCAACCTCAGAATGTTGTTCCAAATGCACCTGAAAGCGAAGGAAAAGGTTCTTACCAAAGACATCACTGACTACCTTGTTAAAAACATGGAACAAACCAGTGTCAAATTTTATAGAAAGGACCTTGAGTTACTTGAGTTCTTTTCTCTTTAAAATTTCAAAATCTAGAAAAGCAATACATTTTTACAAACAAAAATGCTGTTTTACTATTTATTGTTTTGTGTCCTGCTTTTTGTTGTTGTTAATCCTCACCCGAGGATATTTTTCCATTGATTTTTTACATGGGGGGGGGGGGGGCAGAAAGAAAGAGAAACATCAACGTGAGAGAGACACCTTGATTGGTTGCCTCCTGCACAACCCCGACCAGGGCCTGGGATTGCACCTGTCCTTGACTGAACCTGTCCTTGACCAAGAATTGAACCCGAAACCCTCTGGTCCTCAGGCCGATGCTCTAACCACTGAGCCAAACCAGCCAGGGCTGTCCTGCTGTTTTTTACTTAATAACATATCATGGACTTCTTTCAACATCAAACTGTGCATGGACAATATCACTTTTAATGGCTATATTATAAGTTTTTAAACAAATCGCTGTGTTTGGGCATTTGGATAGTTTCCAGCTTTTCACTGTTATAAATGTATCAGTGTGGGTCCAATTAGGAGAAAGCAAGCTGAACAGGGAAAGTTTAATATACAGAATTATTAACTACAACAGGAAATTAGAGTAACCGTTTCAGAGAAGTCACTGTGGTGCGTAGCCAGGCTGGTGGAACTTGCTAGAATCTGCCCTCTGGGTTGCCAGGGAATGTTCTTCATGGGGAAGTGTCTGACTGGAGGCACTCTGTTATAAAGCTGCCCAAGGAGGGGTGCCTTGGCAGAAATTGCTGGCCTTGGGGTACTACTGGGCTCTGAGCACTGAAGGAGGGACAGGGGGGAAGCTGGGAGCCTGCAGCACCTCGTCCTGTGATGTCTCTGCAGTCCCCTCTACTGACAAAGTTGGCAAAGGAAAAACATTTAAAGGACCCAGGTCCGTTTTTACAGAGCAGCCAGAAGGGGGTCAATTTGGAGCTGAGAGGCTGTACAATGAAATCTAGCACAGGAAGCTATATGTCAAGGATTGTCATTGTGTATGCGTCTTGCATGCTGTCTGAATGTTCTCTTACATACATTCCTGGTCGTAGAACTGATGGATCAAAGGGTGGGCACAACTGGCGCTCTAGAAAGTTCTGTTAACTGTCTTCCAGTGACATAGTACTTAGGAGCTTCTAGTTGCTCACACTTTAGTTAACCCTGGGTATCAGCATTCTTTTTCATTTTCATTTCCAGTCTATATCCTTTGCCCATTTCAAAACTTAGAAGGTTAAGTCTGACTGATTTGTACATGCTCCTTATGTATTAAATATTCAAAAGTTGAAATGTTTATGTAGTCAAACCTTATGTTCTTTTTTAACATTAAAAAACATTTTTTTAAAATCCTCACCTGAGGATATTTTTTCATTTATCTTCAGATAGCGGGAGGGAGAGAGAAACATCAATGTGAGAGAGACACATCGATTGGTTGCCTCCCACATGACCCCAAACAGGGCCAGGGACCAAACTGCAACAGAGATACATGCCCTTGACTGGAATCGAACCCGTGACTCTTTGGTCCAGGGGCTGATGCTCTAACCGCTGAGCCAAACCAGCCAGGGCTAACATTTATAATTTTAATTCACCTGGAAATCATTTAGTTTAAGGTATGAGGTAGGTATTTAATTTTTTTCTTAATTTTATTCCGATAATGTTAACGGTTTTACTCTCTCTCTTTCTGACTGATTTCAGTTGTTACTTTTATCATATATTGGGTTGTGTTATATGCCTGGGTGTATTTCTGGACTTTAAATTGCTTCCCTTTGGCTTTTAGCTAACTGTTTTACTTTGGCTTTCAGAACAGGACGCAGGCCTTGATGCCCTCTCTTCGATCATCAGTCGCCAAAAACAGATGGGGCAGGAGATTGGGAATGAGCTGGAGGAACAAAACGGTAAGAACATTTCTGAGACTGACCACATTTGACATTTAGTATAAACACTGAAGGCTTGAGTATTTGTTAAATGATTGTAATACTACAAAACATAGAATGTGGCTTGCTATCAGTGGGTTATTATATTTAATGCAATTGAGGGTAGTTTGTGGCAGATTTAGATTGTAGTCACTAAATACTGTGTAGAGAAATTTGATAAAAAATTCTACTTCTCGCCCGGCCAATGTGGCTCAGCGGTTGAGAGTCGACTCATGTACCAAGAGGTCGTCAGTTTGATTCCCAGTCAGGGCACATGCCCAGGTTGTTGGCCCAATCCCCAGTGTGGGGTGTGCAGGAGGCGGCCAATCGATGTTCTCTCTCATTGATGTTTCTGTCTCTCTTTCCCTCTCCCTTCTTTCTCTAAAAGCAATAAAGAAAAACAAATTAAAAAAATATTTCCACTTCTCTGGAGTTGCTTTTATTTAAAAAACCATTTTTTTCTTTATTGATATTAGAGAGAGGGAGAGGAAGAGAGAGATAGAAACATCAATGAGAGAAAACATCAATTGGCCACCTCCTGCATGCCCCACTGGGGATCATGCCCACAACCCGGGCATGTGCCCTGATGGAAAATCAAACTGAGGACCTCTTGGTTCATGGGTTGATGCTCAACCACTGAGCCACACCGGCCAGGCTGGAGTTGCTTTTAAAAATACTTTGTTTTAGGATCCATTTATTCCAAGAGCTTTCCTTTATGTGTAATGCGGTGAAATCGCTCAGTGCGTTGTACGCTGACGAGAGGCACGCAGAAGCTGCTGGGACTCTGTCATCCACATGCCCTGCACGCCCGTGGAGCTGGCTCCTCTTCCATCACAAATACCGGGCTGCAGGGCAGGAAGAGCGTGAGGACCTTTACCCAGGGCTTGCTGTGATGAATCTGTTTGGAGAGTGATTACTTCGCGATCCACAAGCAGGCTGGCTTGGCAGAGACAGCTTTAACTTGGGAGCCTACCCGACAGGCTCTTGTGCTTGAGCTGTGAGGTGCGAGGCTCCCGAGCCCCGATGGGATGGGCAATAGGAATGGAGAGGAGAGGAGGGAGGCAGGGGCTGCTGGCGCTTTATCTGTGATGCACGTGGTCAGGGCACTGAGAGGGCCACTGGTTTGAGTGGAGACCATACATCCTGTTCAGACACATCCAGTTAGACAGGCCGGTGAGAGACCCGAGTCGGAGTGTTAAGTAGACAGTACGAGGTCAGTGCCAGAGCTCTTCAAAGGACAACAGAAGACGAGACGTGAGAAGCTTTGGCGTAGGGGTGATGAGGGCAGGCTGAGCTTCAGTGACGCTCCTGCCATGTGCTGAGCACTTTCAACTGCGTCCTTTTATGTACTCAACCCCGTGACAGCAGTGTTGTCTCTGTTTGGTAGAGACGGAGCGCAGAGTGGCCGAGGGACCTCCTGATATCACATCACACATACAGGGCGGGACTGAAATTCCAGCTCGGGTCTTCTGATTCTAATGGGACTGCCTTTTCTCCTCCATCAGCTTCCTCTCTGGGGAAGACAAAGGAGGGAGAGAAAAGTAAAAGTAAGAGGCTGTAGGTTTCAGCTTTCGGTGCTAGCACTGTGGAGGCTCGTGTGGAGGCTCATGACGGAATGGCTTTCAGGAAAAGTTACCGCTACGAGCACGCGTGGCAGCCCCGGACCAGCAAACGCTCGCCTGGAGGGAGGGCCGCCCTGTCCGACTGAACACACATGCTTTGGTTGATGTCTGCGCACAGAGACTTCATTTCTTCCCACAGTGCTGCTCCATTTATGGATCATAAATGATTAGCAAATAAATTCCACTTATCTTCTCTCATAAGTAAATAGATTACTAAAGCAAAAGGAGAACCTCTCCATCTTTCCAGTCCTAACAGTGGTTTTCATAGTCGAAGCACCGAGGGGAAGACAGTTCAGTCCTAACGGTGCTAATGAATGTGCTTGCATGTAGTTTAGTTACTGACCCGTTCCTTCCGTGAAAGAAAGTACCGGTGAG